ACCTCTCACAAATAAAGCCATTGCCTGAAAGACTTATAAAGGAGACTTCTCTGTGACTGCTAATGTAAGACAATTTTTTCTGAAAGAATGATGGAAGGAAGTCGATAACATCTCCTTGTTGATGGACAACAGTCTTACCAGGATTACCCACCCCAGATATGATGACTGTGTTGGCTTGGAGGAACATTGTATTTCAAAGCAGGAATCATAGCAGAGGAGAGTGAAAAATAAATAAAAAATAGGAAGAAATGTTCCTGTGGTTTTTAAGAAGAGACTGGACAGTCATTTGTCTGAGATTGTATAGCTCAATGATAGTGAACCTTTTTGGCACCGAGACCATGCATGCGTGCACCGAAAACTCAAAGACCAGCTGGCCAGCACACATGCGTGCACCAGAAACCAGAATAGCAGCTGGCGACAGCGCGTGTGGCCACAGAGAGGGCTCTGTGTGCCACCTCTGGCACGCATGCCATAGGTTCACCATCACAGGTATAGGTTCTCCTGCTTGAGCAGGAGGCTGGACTAGAAGACCTCCAAGGTCCCTTCCAACCCTTCCCTTCCCTTCCCTTCCCTTCCCTTCCCTTCTATTCTTAGTGAGGGGCAGGAAGAGACTTTCAATGAGACAAGGAGTTTATCATTCCAGGGTCCCAGAATCAGAGCTCTTGGCATCTCTCATCCTTCTGTGAACTGATTGGGACTGTGAGGAGATGCAATCCAGCAACATCCTCAGGGTTGCAGGTTTCTCACCTCTGGCTTAAAGCTGTGAATGCTGGCAAAATGTAGCTGGCAAAGAAATGCATATTGCAGCAGTACTTGGAAGTCCCACCTTCCTTGGCCCCCTTATGGGTGTCTATTTCTTTGCACCCTGGGCAAAGAAATAGACACCACCATCCCACCCGACAAATTATAAAGCAGGGTGGGGTCTGGCCTCCTCCTAGCATCCTGAATTGTGCCACTAGGTAAGCCAATGTTTGCTAATAAGCTGTGAGGCTCCGTCTGGAAAAAAAAATTCTCCGTCAGGCTCAGCATCCATTGAGGCCCCACCTTACGCTTGCAAGTACTTCAGATGGGCAAATTCAATGAGGTCAAAAGGTGTATTTGGGGATGATGGGGCCTCTTGGGAGTTTCCAGGCCTTTTCAAGCAATTGCTGTTTAGAACTATCCAAGGTTCTGAAACCTCTGTCAGATTCTGCCTCCGACTGTACTCGACACTCTCAATGTTCCTAGAGTGCGTCAAGCAACATAATCCTGTTAGTGATGGAAAGGGGGGTTGACCAGCAAGGTGAAAATCATATGAGCTTCCGTCTGTTCTGCCTCCCCGTACCCTTCCTGTAAAGCCATTCCCTGCAGATGCCACTGTTGCTCTCCCAACACTGTTCCCCAACAATTTTCTTTTTTGCTTCTTAACTGCCAATTTCCCAATAATTTTCGTCATGCCTTCTGACTGCAAGTTGGTGTTTATGGATGTGTTCTGCCAGCCTTCTGCCTGTTTATCCTACACACTGGTTGTGGCAGTCCTTACATTGTATGTTGTAGATGACTCCTGTTTTTTCTTCTAGGGCTGCTGGGTCTAAACAAACCAAAAGACTGGCAGAATGCATCCATGAACACCAACTGGCAGTCAGAAGGCATGATGAAAATTCTTTAATTTCACAACATATAGACAGATTTAACCATAGTTTCAATTGGGAAAATGTGACAATCCTAGACCAGGCCAAATCCAAAAATGTCAGAAAATTTCTAGAAGCCTGGTAATCTGAAAATCAGCCATCAACAGACACATAGACATTAACAATATCTATTCACTATGCAAAAGAGACAATCAACCAGCCCAAAAGAGAAAAGGACTCCAGCACCTCTCCACCAGTGATCAGCACCCAGATCAGCATAGATTAACTGCAAGGTTAACTTCAGACCAACGATCAAGTAAGCAACACCCCAATCAAGAAACAACCAAAGAGCTTGGCTGGTGGCCATATTTAGATAGAATCCAGGTACAAGACACACCTGGTGCAATTTGGATATCAAAAAGAGCCATATGAATTAGACAAAATTTTACAAGGAACGGATGAGAAAATGATAACTAAAATATATAATTATTTATTAAGATATAAATTAGAAGAAGAAGTGGTCAAAGAAAATATGATAATTTGGGTGAAAAATTTTGGGTATAGCATCGAATTGGACAAATGGGAAAAATTATGGAATGTAAATTATAAATTAACGATGTCTATACCCTACAAAGAAAACTTGTATAAAATGTTCTACCGGTGGCACCTCCCCCCGGTGCACCTAACAAAAATGTTTCCGAATACCTCCCCAATGTGTTGGAAGTGTAAATCACAAAAAGGAACTTACTATAATACAGTATGTGGTGGTCATGTTGAAAGGCGAAACAATATTGGCAGGAAATAAGGACACAAATAAAAGAAATCACAAATCAGAAATTGGAAATGAAACCAGAAATCTTTCTACTAGGAATAATTACAGGCCATTACAAGAAAGAAATAAAATATCTAATTATCCACATACTAACTGCAGCACGCATACGCTTCACTCAAAACTGGAAACATGAAGACATATCAACGGAAAACAAAATAATCACCAAAATTATGGAATGTGCAGAAATGAATAGACTTACAAAAGAATTACAAGAAAAAGACGATACAGACTATTATTTAGTATGGCAAAAATGGTATAACTGGTTGGAGAAAAAGGAATATAAACATAGGGACACAAAAGAGGGGTCAAACTAGAGACAAAAATTGAGTACCAACTAAGAAACATAACAAATTAAATATGGAGTCTATCATATTGTCTTATATGTAAATATATAGATATATTGCTTAGCACATTGTAAGCCGCCTTGAGTCTCCGGAGAAGGGCGGCATATAAATCAAATTAAATATAGATAGATAGATAGATAGATAGATAGATAGATAGATAGATAGATAGATAAGTATATAAAAACAGTCTACCGATGTGATAACTTTAAAAAGGAAGTCGTAAGACTCGGTTTATGTTTATTTGTTTTGTATGTTGTATTGTTGTATCTATGTTTGTTCGTATTTTTAATTAACAAAAACTTTATAAAAAGAAAAAAAAGAAACAACCAAAGAGCCATCAGTAAACAGCCCAATCAAAGAATCTCTAAGAAGCCCCCACCCACACAGACAGGCAAGATCCCAGAATATAAACTGAGAGCAAACAGCACTCCTTACTAGCACTGATGAAGTTTACCTAGTTAGGATAATGAAACGTCTGCAAGAAAACAAGCAAGCTCAGGGAGCACCAAGGACCCCTCAAATAGAATAATAAGAGTGAACCGTAGGGTTGGCATAACAACGTTGGGTTGTCTTCTAGGCTGTGGTGTCAGTGGGCATGTGGCTTTCTTGGTACATGAACATATTCCAATGAAGAACTAAATTAATATACGCTGCCAGGACAAATTTTTACAATGTTTAGAAATGTCTTGAAATATTATAAATTTCTGTTTTTCCTTTTTAGTGTTTGCTTTTGAAAATGCATACTGCTGTTCAGCAAAAGCCTACATTTCTGAATTGCTTATTTTGGAGGGGAGGCTATCATTTCCCACCAAGGGAGATCCTTTTAAAAACTTTTCTCCAGTGTGCAAGTCAATCACACACTCACACAATTGTTAAGACAATTTCTTCATTGGCAAAACATACTGCAAATCAAGAACCTTTTTTTTCCTACAAAATGGGCGGAATGACTAAAAGTTTTACATGGGTAATAATATGCAGGAAAGACCTTGTAGACTAGGCAAAGAGACACTGCCAGCCAAGGGAATGGTCAGAGAAAAGACAGCAGAGCCCAGAGATTGGCAACAGCTCAAAAGGGACCCTTCCTAGTATCCTGGACTGTAAAGGAGACGAGGGAGAAGGTACTTTTAGACCTGCAAGATTCTCTCAACGTAGCTTTAGGATCAAGTAGAATTAGCTCACCAGGTCAGGTTTCCTGTCTCTCTCCCTTGTAAAGCTGACAGCGTATCTCTTGGTGCTTGTACAGATCAACTGAAAGGACATGGAGAATAGCTCATGCGAAGGAAGGGGGCAAAGGCCCCTTGGAAGACACCTAGATCCTTTCAGGACTCTCCCTCCTTTCCAAATCAAGACCAACTGGACCTATTATACTCCTGACTCACACGTAACAGATGAAAGAAGAAAAATTCTGCCATATTGATCAATAGAAAAAGCCACTGACTCACACCTTATAATTTTATTATTGAGATAAATTAAGGCTGCCAGATTAAAAAAACAACTCAAATTGAATTCTCATTGCCCTACAGAAAAATTTACAGATTTTATTTTTCAAAGCATAGGAAGTGAGCTAAAATAACCTTGCCCTATGCAACAGGGGTGAGCAATTAATTTTCCCAAGGGGCCCTATGAGAAACTGGGACTGTTGTAGAGGACTGCCATTGCACACACACACACCCCTCTGTGTGCTGGCCCTGCCCCCCACAATGCTGCTGACGCTGCAGGCAGGACTGGGACTACCCGGGGGCCGCATACAGCTCACGGATCATAAAACGCCCAGCTCTGTTCTATAGTCTTTGAGAGTAAATCTGAGAGGTTTAGATTGCAAGACTCCGTCTGTTGGCGTGGGCAAATACAGAGCTGAACTTTGGCTGGATTGGTCTAGTCATTGTTGGGCTGGGTTTGCGCTTCAGAATGTTCAGTTTCCCTTCAATCCATTCTTCTTCTTCTTTTTTTTTTTTGCTTTCAGCTTTTCTTTTGTTAAGCTCTGCAAGGCCTGAGCGCAGGGGACTTGGGTCTGCAACCAGATACCCTCAACCATCGGACTGCACCACTTAATTTTGTGATAGGCTTGCTGAACACTGGCAGCCTGGTTTCCTGTCATTTGTGGATGTAAAGCAAGTTTCAACCCAGGCGCAACTCCAGGCCCAGAGCCTGGAAAGCCCTGGCAAGCTCAGCCCAGCCACTTCCAGCCTGGCTCTGTTCCCTGGGGATGTTTAGTGCAGCCCAGTCAGCAAAGTCTTTTCCAATCCTGGCGAACCAAGTGAGAAGGGGCTCCTAGGAAGTGCAATCCTGGCTCTCGAGAAACCCATGGATGAACATGGTTTCATCTCTGGGTTGCTCCTGGCCCCCTCCAGGTGATCCTTCTGGCAAGAATGCAGCCACAAGGCAACAGGAGAGGAGGATGAAGCTGGAGTGAAGGCAGTTGTGGGGAAGGGGAGAGGATGAGGCAACTCACCCCTTCCCTCTCTTGGGATACTACAAGCAGGGCCTCAGTTCACCCACACACCAGTGCCCCAGAGTGATGGAACTGAGTTGGGGCTCCTGGATGAGGAAGAGCAGGACAGAATTAAATTAATTAGTGCCTTGTTGTCAAAACTACAGCTGCTGCTCACCCTGAGCTGCTTCTTTCCCTTCCCTCTTGGTTCAGAACTGGGCTGTCTCTCTGGGATCAGCCATTTGTTCTCATCCTGCCTCTTCCTCTCCCCCTTCTAAGGAAGAAGGAACATGACGTGCACCCCTGTCATGGATGAGCAAAGCCCAAGTCATTCTCGGATGTTGAACCACACATAATTAATGGGGCCCTGAGGTTCCTGCCTAAGAATGCCTTGATCAGCAGGGGATCATCCTCTTTGTGCATCACAGCCCGAGGTGGGAAATGGGTGCAACACACACTTTTGGGGTGTCTGGGTGGGTTTGTGTCAAAGTTACAGCGCAATTTAAGGAAATACTCACTTTTGAGCAATCGTCTTGTTTCTCTTTTCAGCCGTCAGAAGGTGGAATTATGTCCACGCAGGAAGGATGGAAGGGGCCGTGGGAATCTCGAGACAGCCAGAGGAATTGGGTACAACGGTCAGGGGTTATCTTATTGAAACAGCTTTCACGTGAAAGTCACACTGAGCCAGAAATATTATAGAAGAAAGCCACTGAAATTTCAGAGGTCAGAATATTTCTGCTATGAAGAAAAGCTAAGATGCAAGGGGTTGGGGTCTTGGGGAAAAGAGGTTTCCAAAATTAGAGAGGCCTTTTTCTCTCTGGGCTTCGGTATTAGCACCTGAGCAGCCTCCTCTGGACACAGAAGCCAAAAATAGTCAGGTACGATCAGTACTTACAGGGGAGGTTACAAAGGCAGACTGGGATGGGGTGATCACAAAGTTCTCTCCACAGCATAAAAGTGGCCCTGGATAAGCCCCATTCACAGAGGACAAGCAGACGGACACCTGTTTCCTGCGCCAAAGAGATTTGCCTCCAGCTCTTTACACAGAATAGTTGAGAAGATCAGGGAATCTGAACACAGATTGTCATAAATACAGCTTGTGCTGTGTTGTGAAACACAACAGTCGCTAGATTGTTTTTCCATTGTGGCCTCATATTTTTATTACAACTAATCTGCTTCCCTCTGCCTGGGAAAGATATTCTTGCGGGGTTTTGCTTTACCAGCTCTAAGGCTGCTTCCTTACAAGGAGGCGGTAACCTCTGGGTGCTGCAGGAGCAGGGAAAGCAGAGAGCCCAGTGGGGCTGAACCTGGGGCCAAAGAGAGGAAGGGAGAGACAGCCTGGGTCTTGCAGTTGGTAATAAATGGTTTCCATTAGTGTCTTTTCTAGCTGCTGCAATAAAACTTGTCTTATCAAGAGCTGTGATCTCCAGTATCTGCCTGTGAGACTTCTTGCTCTGGTTTTGGTCTGGCTGACAGCTGGATGGGAAGTCAAAACAAATATTCTGGACAAGAAGTAGTAAATCACTTGCATATTATTGCAGGGATGGTGTGTGTGTGTGACAATGGTCATGACCTTGTGACTGAAGCCTGACCTATTTTTCTTATAGTATATGACATTATAAATTGAATTGAATAAATTATGCACACACGAAACCAATGTGTGTTACATGTGTTACACACGCTAAAGGGGGACATTGTTTAGTTTGGACCTCCACCTTCATTCTCCCTGCAGACATCCTGGCAAGAAAATTGTCTCCTTCAAGTCACTGGTGGTGAAGCAGAATTCAAAGGAAACCTCGATTGTTTTTACATACAAATCGTAGTTGGTGCGTGGAGGTTTGCAGATCGCTCTCCACTGTGAGAGCTTCCATGGCTCAAAACAGGGCAAGGCACATTTGTTGGGCGAGGGGGAAGAGAACTATCAAGAGTTATAAAAGCTAAATGGACTCTTCTTATTCAGAAGTTGTTCACCTACTGTAGGTCGTAAAAAAGACAAAGTATCACTTTCATCTTTATTTATCCATTCATCTATATTTATATCCTGCCTTTATTATTGATAGAAATAACTCAAGGCGGTGAACATACCTATTTTTCTATGAGGCGAGTTAGGCTGAGAGAGAGAGACCGACTGGCCCAAAGTCACCCAGCTGGCTTTCATCTCTAAGGTGAAACTAGAACTCTCCGGCTCCTGTTTTCTAGCCTGGTGCCTTCGCCACTTTATCTCCTTTGCTGTAAAATGCTGAAAGCTCTTAGAAATCAGGGAATGGAGCCAGGACCTCTGGGTCCTGATCCAGCAAGGGGGTTAGGCTATGTATGGTTATGCTTCTTTCAGCGGCCTCTTCAGTGAAAGAAGCTCAAATGCTGCAATCCAAACTGGATTACCAAGGTAGGTAGCATCCCTGGGGGGTGGGCACTTCACGAAGGAATGTTCCCCAGTCTTGGCAACTATCAGGCAGGCGGCCTTCCCCTCCCAGAATTCCCCAGCCACACCTCCACCTGTCTTAGAGTTGTGCCAGGGCCGAGAAACGCTGGCTGTCCGTTTGTACCTGGACTAAACAGGGCCAGGATCCCAGGGCCAGGAGCCCAGCTGCTGGTGACCTCAGCCACAAACCAAAACCTCCGCAGCTGGGTTCTCAGACAAGCGAGCCGGGCTAAAGTGGATCGGGGGCCTTGTACTTCAGGGGGTTGGGGAGCGGCCTTCGGGTTTTCTTAATCTGGCGGCGGCCACGGCTTGCAGAGGCCAGCAGGCGAGGCGCTGCATCGGAAAGGAAGGGGAAGAGGAGGGCAGCGTCGCCTCTTGGCCGCCAGAAGCGACGGGGCGGAAGGAGCCGCCGAGTCTCCCTCTTTCCCGCTAACCCCACGTGAAGGTGGCTCCTGGCAGATGCGGCCGCGGGAGGCAACGGCGAACCAAGTGGAAAGAAAAAGTGGAAAGAAAGCCGTCCTGAGCTCCGCGGGCCCAGACCGCCGAGGGGGCATCTCCTTGCGGGCCGAGCGCTGCCCCGACGGCCCTTCCGGAGGAGCCGCCCACCGCCTGGCGCGGCTTGCAGGCGCGGGCGGCGGGAGGGCCCGTCCCGGGGGAGAGAGGCGGGGGGGGCGCTGCGGCGGCGCTCCGGCTCTGCTCCCCCCGTCGGGAAAAGGGTGGAGCCGGGCGAGCCGGGCCCGCGCCGCCTCCGCCCCCTCCCCCCGCCGGGCTTATATCCCGGGCGGGCGGGCGCGGCGGGGGCAGGTCGGCTGGCTGGGCGGCTGCGGGTGCGAGCGGCGGGTCTGGCAAGGGGCTCGGCTGCCGCATGGCGTCGGGGCACGGAAGGCTGGGCGGGCTCCTGCTGTTGCTGCTGCCGCTGCTGCTCCCGGGCCCGGCCGGCGCCTGGTACAAGCACGTGGCCAGCCCGCGCTACCACACGGTGGGCCGGGCGTCGGGGCTGCTGATGGGCGTCCGCCGCTCTCCCTACCTGTGGCGCCGGGAGGAGGCCGGGCCGGACCCCCGCGGCAGCTCCTCGCCCGACGCGGCCCCACGGTGGCTGCGGCCGCACCTGCAGCCCTGGCCGGACCCGCCCCGCCCCGCCAGCCGCTGGGGCCGGGAGCCGCTGGAGAGGCCGCCTTGCCTTCCGCCCGAGGGCGCCTGGGCCGGACTGGCCCTCCAGCGGGCCCTGCGGAAGCAGACGCCGCCCGACGGACCGCGGGAGCCGCCGCCCGACAGGTAACGGCCAGGCGTGGCGGGCGGCGGCGGCGGCTCTGCCGGGAAAAGGTCCCGGCCGCCGCGGCAAGTGGGAGCCTCGTGGGGGGGTCCCGGGGATGCCGGGCTTGGAGCCGTCGAGGCGTCCTGGGGCGGCGGGAGAGGCGAGGCGAGGCGAAGCGCTCCGGTGGGACCACTCCCGCCTCTGGCCACCCGCCGTCGAGTTCCGCTCCTGGCGGCTGAAAGCGACGGGAAGGCGGCCGAGCAAGCGGACTTCCCGCGGGTGGCTCGCCAATCGATGCGGGCGGCGGCGGGCGAGAGAGTCGAACCGGCGGCGGGCCAAGAGCCTCCGAGAGGCGGGGCGGGCTGGCCTTGGCCGGACTCGAGGGCTGCTCCCACTCCGCGCTTTCCCAGGCGCGCCTTCTGCCCCTTTGCCTGCCCCGGGGGGGGGGGGAGGCGGCGGGGCTGGAAATGAAGCCGCGCAAACCGGCCTCCGCTTCCGAAAGCTCCGCCAAGACGGTGCCTGGATGCGGCCGCCTCCCTTTCCTCCCCCCGTCGAGGGAAAAGTAACTTCCTCCCTCCCCCGTTTGCGGAGGGAGAGAAATCGGGGAGGGGCGAGGAGCCCCCTTACCTCCCTTGCGCAAAAGCTACGCAGTTCCTCCGCAGCGTCGGGGCGCTTGGGCGAAGGGGGGGCGGCCGGAGGTCCGGAGGAGATTTAAGGAGCCTGTTTGGGGCAGCTGGGTGCCCTCCTGGCCGAGCGGGGAGCCTCCCTTCAAAACGAAGACTGTAGGCTGGGGATTCTGGGAGCTGGAGTCCCCCCATGGGACAGCCCAGCTGAGCCCTCTAGAAGAGCTGCAGGCTCAACCCCCCTCGGTTGCTGTCCCAGTTGCCCCTTTGGGCCTTGACCTGACCTTCATTCACCACCAAGTGGGTTTCCTGCAGCCTGTTTTGGGGAGCAGACCCTCTTCTCAAGACGTTGCACAGTTTGCTTGGATAGAACATAGGCTGTTTGGTTTCCTGATTAAGGTACCAGGCTAGGAACCCGCAGACCACGAATTCTGGTTCCACCTTAGGCGTGAAAGCTGGACGATCCCTCTTTCTCAGCCCGTAAAGTCCAGCTTGGACAACAAGCCAGTTGGTCAGTTCTTGTCGCAACCGATGGAACCAAAACAAAAGCAGACTCTGCACTTGCAGGAAAACACTAGGAAGAAAATCAAAGTTCCACTAACATGTCTCATGTTTGGTTAAGCAGATTTAGGATGCTGTGTGAAATGAACCACGGTTCAGAAATGGGCCTCCGGTTTTAGTCTGATGCATTGTGAATGCAGTGAATCTCCTCTTTCGTGGGCGAGAGATGGCTGCTCCTATAACAAGAGAGAGTTTTCAATAACACCTCACTGATTGGTGATGGATGTGTCACAAGGCTGCCATTTTTGCAATAATTTATTGTAATGTTGAGCTCCATTCCGGAAAGGGGAAAAGTTTAAAAAGTTTTTATCAATGCAGGAAATTTGGGGCATGTGCAGGGGAAGTTTTAAAAAGCTGAAGATGGCTGCAACAGCTTGACAAAAATTCTTTCTTAGATGTGGGGTGTGATGTTTGTGAGGAAAGGGTTTGAGTGACTGCTCTTAGCCTCCTTCCTGACTTTTTTGCCCCTCCCCAGGAAGAGACCAAAACAAGGAAGAGCATTCCTTTGGTGAGATGCAAACAGCTGCGAAGACACACAGTCACAGTCACTCATGCCCTTGTCACCTCACCGTTAGATTATTGCAACACGTTCTACGTGGGGCTACCCTTGAAAAGTGTTCGGAGACTACAGTTGGTCCAGAACACAGAAGCTCAAGCTGTCGTGGGTGCACCTAGGTACACCCACATTACACCAATTCTCCGCGAGCTGCACTGGTTCCCTATTGGTCTCCGGTCACAATTCAAGGTGTTGGTTATTACCTTTAAAGCCCTACATGGCTCAGGGCCAGGCTATCTTCGAGACCGCCTTCTACCGCATAGCTCCCAGCGACCGGTAAGATCCCACAGAGTTGGTCTCCTCCGGGTCCCGTCAGCTAAACAATGCAGGCTGGCGGGCCCACGGGGGAGGGCCTTCTCTGTGGCTGCCCCAGCTCTCTGGAACCAGTTACCTCCTGAGGTCCGGACCATCCCCACCCTATTGGCCTTCCAAAAAGCGGTGAAGACCTGGCTTTTCCAGCAGACCTTGGGCCGTTGATCTCGCTCTTGCGATCCGGCGAGATCCGGCCATGAATGGTGTGAATGAGTTTTAATTGTTTTAATTGTTTTTAATGTTTTTAATTTTTAAATGTTTTTTATAATGATTTTAAATGCATTGTGAGCCGCTCTGAGTCTTCGGAGAGGGGCGGCATACAAATTGAATTAATAAATAAATAATAAATAAATAAATTCACCATCTTCTCTTTTCATCCCTTTCAGTATTTTTGCACCTGAGATGTGATTTCACTTGAAGCCACATGTCCCGTGGGAGGAACGGCCTGAGAAATGCCACCAGAGGACCACAGAAACTGATTTGCGAAGCAGAATGTGAGCAAAGCCTCTGGTTCCTGCATCTTCTATCCCCCCCACCAGGAAACCATCCCCCCCCCCCCCGCTTGCCTTTAACCTGCCCAGACTTGCTGGAGGCCACAAACAGAGTCTGGGCCCTTGGAATTGAGGCTCCTGTTTGATTCTCTTTTGCTTTTCAACTCTTGGATGCAGGCAAAAAACTCCTGCTGTCTTCTAGCCAACTTCACGCTGACATCTTAGAGTGGAGAAGAAAGAAGGAAATATATGAAGTTTGTTATTCCTTTTCAGATGTCTCTGAGGCTTTTTGCTATATGATGTATACTCTGTCTTTTTCCCCTCTGGGATACTGTACTAATTAAAACTGAAATGTAATCAACCCGCTTTGAAGTCATAATAAAAGATTAGATAAACATTGGAGGAGGAGGAGGAGGATGGGACTCGTCAGCGGGTGCAGCTGGTGATCACCAAACAGTGGACGGCCAAAATAGGAGTGCTAAGGGATAGAAGGAAAATATAAACCGGGGTTTGCTTTGAGAAATATAACATAGGCTATGGCTCTGATGTGAGTCTAGGCCCTTTCTGCTACTCATTACAATGATTAATTGTTTTCTAAACTTCCACAGTGCTTGAATTTTTTTCAAGGAATCCACTCAAAATTAACACAACTCTTAGAAACAGTTGCAGTTACCGCAGGTTTCTGCAGGAGCCTTTCAAATACCAGCCTGCTTTAATTTGGAACAACAACATGCTGGGTTCACTCAAGTGCTACTTTGATTATTTTCAAAGGATTTTAGCAATGTTTCCCAATCTTGGCAACTTTAGGATATGTGGACTTTAACTCCCAGAATTCCCCAGGCAGCTTGCTGTCCACATGTCTTAAAGTTACTAAGGTTGCGAAATGCCTTATCAGAAACCCCCTTTCCCTCAAACCCAGCAAGACCCAAGTGTGCGTTTGAACGTTGGAACTCTGCAGCGAGGAATCCACTTCTGTGGGGTGTGATAGGTTATCAATCTGGCAAAATTCAAGGGCCCCAAAAGCTTCTCTCGACTGTTAACAGGCTTCAGAAATGGCAAGTGCAGTTCAATGGGTATTTTGTATTCTGCTTTTCATTAAAATCTCAGAATGGTTTACAATCAAAGTTGAAACAATCTCAAGTGCAGCTCAGTTTAAACAATCATAATATGGTGCATGTTATGTGCCAGAAGCTTCTCCTAACTCAGTGGGAACTGAATTGTCAGTGTCTGAACAGGAAAGAGATCTCAAAGTCACACTGGATTTTTTAATGAAAAGACTTATGTGCCCAGTTTCACCCCCAGTGAATACAGGCGGCGGCTGGAATTCCCACACTTGGAATTATTAGGAAGTGGGTTGAAAACAGTACAATACTACCATGCTTAGATGCAATCCAAGAGGAAAAGAATTGGTTCCAGTTCTGGTTGCTTCAAGTCATAAAGCATATTCTGAAACTGGGAAAAAGGGGCATTCACAATGATTTGTGACTCCTTATATCTGAAGAGGATAAGGGGGTCTAGAGACTAACCATATGATGAATGGTTAAGGGAAGTAGATACCTTTAGCCTAATGAAAAGGCTAAGAGATGTCTTCTGGTACAGGAGGGGCAGCCACAGAGATGAGGGAGTCAACTTATTCTCCAAAGCACCTGAGGATAAGTCAAGAAACAATGAGTGGAAGCTTGTCAGAGGGAGATCCGTCATGGAAATGAAGAATGGATGGTATAAAAAGGGGTCTGGATGGGTTCCTGGAAGATCAAGCTCCCAATGGCTGCTCATACCGATGGTTGGCTCTGCATACCAGCCAATTGCCCAAGGATGCTGCAGAAGACCAATGGGGTGGCATCCATCTATAGCTCCGTGGGGAGCTCTGCCATAGAGTTAGCCCTACAAGAAGACATTGTATGGAGCAACCCCAGCCCAGGCCCACCCAGGGAGAAGAGCAAAAACATTTTGCAGGCAAGGTCCACAAATAACCAGGCCCTTGCTGAGCATTTTGCCAGCACCTTCAGTGGCACCTGGCAGCTGCCATAAGCAGTGGTCATATGTGAGCTTCCAGTATCATCAGATGCCCCCAAACCACATACAATAGCAATAGCACTTACACTTATATACCGCTTCACAGTGCTTTACAGCTCTCTAAGAGGTTTACAGAGTCAGCATATTGCCTCCCCCCAACAATCTGGGTCCTCATTTTACCGATCTTGGAAGAATGGAAGGCTGAGTCAACCTTGAGCCAGTGAGAATTGAACTGCTGACAGCCGGCAGTCTGCAGAAATAGCCTGCAGGACTGCATTCTAAACGATGTGCCACCACACTGGTCACCAGCTGGCCCTCCCAACATGATGTTACACCATCGCCACCAAATCCCCCTCTCACCTGGGCAGTAGGGGGGTTGAAATATAGGTTTGAGGTGCTCTACCCCATCAATACCTTCTAATGCAAGAACCAAAAGTTCAGTACCTTACAACCACCTTCATGTGGCAAGAATAAAAATATAAATATTTTCAGCTCAAAGAAGGTACAAGAATCAACATGGTTGTCCTTACATTGGGATTTGTTTGTTTGTTTATTTATTATTTTAGTCTATGGGTCAATCTGTTGAAAGCCAAGAACCTAAAATGTTATTGTTGTGATCCGCCAGCAGCCTGTGGAGCTGGCAGCGGAGTTGGATAGTGAGGAGGCTGGGGAGGAACATGGGCCAGTCCTGGAGTCAGGGGAAGGCCCGGACGGGTCTGCAATGGAGGCAGAGATGGGGCCAGGGCCATCTGGGAGTGATGTGCAGACTCCGGAGCCTCCAGAGTTGGACAGCAGAGAGGCAGAGGAACAGGAGGAGCCTGTTCCTAGTGCACGCATGCGCAGAGCTGCCAGAAGGCACGAACAGTTAAAACAAAAGGGACGACTTGGCAGTAAGGTCTGGAGATGATTGGCCCCTCTCATAAGGCTTAAAAGAGGGGCAAAGGCACACGGGCACTTTGCAGGAAAGCAACGTTGTTAATTCTGTTCCCAGTCGACATCTCTGTTTGATTCTGGACTCCATGTGGCTTTGCCAAGTACGTCTTTGGCAGAGTGTCAAGGGAGATAAAGGTTGGTGATTATCCTGAAGGACTTCTCCCGAAGGACTTTTTGCACCTAATTGGGACTCAGCTATGAATGAAAGTAATTCACAACTGTTGCAATAAAAGAGGTTTTTGGGACTACGCGTGGGTTTTAATGACTCAGGAAGCCGAGGTCACAAAAGTTATAGCTGTTTGGCTGCCTAAGATTATTGGCTGTCCCAGGGTAGCCTTTTTCAAACCCCCAGCTGACTGCTCCTCCCATAGCCATCCTATGCCAGTTGCTGAGCATGTGCCAGAAAGCCAAAGTTGCCCTTCGCTTGGGCTACCCACACCGTCACCCCATGGTTTAAATCTGACTGCCCCTTGTCACCAATCGCAAACAGTTCACAACTGCACAGTTGAGAGAAATATGGATTATTCCTGTAAAAAGCAGAAGAAGAGTGGAGCCATATTTATCATTTATATGACCTAAAACGCCAGATGTGAGGCAGTTATGATTACAAGGCTTTTGAGGGGAATAACAGCCATAATTTGATTAAGCACATTTCATGTCAGGTCAGGCTAACATTGGAGGGAAGAGAGTTGTCATATTGAGATTGATAACATAACATTTTGTTATGACCAAGATGGGGCAATTATCAGGGGAATGTTCTTATCCAGGAAAACAGTTGTTATTTAGCCAAAACGCTTCTTAAGTAAGTAATTAAGTGGCGTTCTGAGGAAGAGATTTTTACACTGAAACAGTATTTAAACTTGTAATCAAAAGTATTCTGTACTCTCTTTGTGTCTCACATAAGCACAAAGGGGTCCCTTTTGCAAAAGGTACAATAAAAGCTCTTTGTATTGTTCATGGAGTTTCCTGAGTTGTTCATCTGGGATGTTTAAATCTCACAACAGTTTTGAATCAGAGCTTGGATGCGCTTATCCTTTTACTACTGTTCTCAGATCCAGCACAACTAATTAGAGCTACACATCACTGATCCCCATGAAGTTCCCAACTAATGTAAGCAGAGGCTCCTCTAAATTAGTAATCAGATCATTACCCAAAGTTGTCTTGCAGCTCCTTTCCCAGATGTCCCATTGTGAAAAAGAGAGCGAGAAGTGACGGCAGCAAATGAAATAGCAAGCTATAAAGTGGAGAATCTCTTACACGCTGCATACACACCTGTTGCACACTTCTCCCAGCGGACCCTTTTCTCCCTGCTGCCTACCTCACACCCTACACCTGTTCCAGAGAACAGCTGGTTGTCATTCATTTTGTTGTGAAATATCATTACACTTTACAAGAGACTATTTGGGGGCCTGGGATTCTTGATCATGGAAGTTCAGGTCCTGGTTCCTGTTGCTTGATCCATCAATCATCCTTCTTCTGGATCTTCTACTCCTTGGCACATGTTTGTTTTAGGCCCTCCTAGGATGCTGCTACACTTCCATGTTCCTCTGTGTGAGCTGAGATCAAGGATTCACCCTACAGTTCACGAAGCCCATCATCCCTTCAGATCACCATAAAAGATGCTTTGCTGGGCCAGCAGCCTGGAGGTGCCGTTCTGTCCAAACAGGTTCTCTCTGATTCAGCCACTTCTGGTTTCCAACAGTCAGGATTGTAGGGATAGCTTGGATTACTCCCGAGAAGACTATTATTGCCAGGGAGAAAAACACCCTCCCTCTCCTGAGGAACGTTGTTCTGCAGCCGCAGGTGGAGAAAGGCTGGCACAAAGCAGGTGAAAACAAGATACTAGACCAGGAAAATGCAAGGGTTTTCTTTCATGAGTCATAACAAGCACCAGATTTGATTGATAGACTGATTCATATCGGTAATCATCATGTCACTAATAATTTCCCCTTCTCAGATTATTAAACATGGCAGGTAATTGGATCCAAACTTTGATGAGTTTGGGAGATCCCAAAGTCTTGGGATCTCAGATTCAGGCCTTCCTGTGTGGTTGGGTCTTTCTCCAGTTTAGAAAGTCATATTTTCTTCTATTCTTATCTGATGTTGAAGTAGCCTGTTTAATGATAAAAATTATCTTCATAAAAATTTACAACAACTCACATTTACTAAGGAAATGTATTGTTTGGGCTTCTGTCCTAATCTCTCCCATGAAAAAAGCACTGTGGATCCCACCTGAAGTGTTAGATATGGTCAGCTTACTTAAGACAGTTGTTTTATTAAATAACTTCCTTATTAAACTTTTTATGTATTATACTGAGTTGTTTATAATTGTTTTAACATTTTGTATTGTTAATGATTATTTATTTTGCACTGTTTATATTTTAATTGTGGGTTGCCCAGAGTTACGTGTGA